TTTTCTGAATCTAATGTGGGGAAATATTTTTTCCATCTTAGCTTGCATTTCTGTAATTACTTGTGATGCTCAATATCTTTTATATATGAGGATGCTTCAAAAAGTTCATGGAAAATTTTCATTATCCAAAGGGATAGGGGCCAATATACAAATATTTATATGTTAAGTATTAAGATAGTGGATGGACTTTGGAGGACACTTTGTTTTAATAACCTGGCACTCTTTGATATTCACCTTCCCAACACAATCGCTGAAGACAAAATGTGTGCATAAGCAAATGTGGTGAAGAAAGCGGATGATGCCTGGTTATCAAAGATATAGCATCTGGGGTCTTAAAGGCTTGAAGTTAAACAAGCAATCATCTAGTAAGGAAGCAAACAAACCCACATGGAAGACGCATACCAGTCTGCGGGATCAGGTATCAAAAGATCCCCAACAAACAAGTATATTGATTTGAATGAGGTGGGTTGAAGTGGAGACCCAAAGCCCATCTTTAGACAATAGGACACCCCTTCACAGAAAGGTCACAAGGAAGGGACCATTAAACCAGGGTGTAGTATAGCACCGACAAAACACACATCCTTCCTCTAATTCCTGAATGCTTCCTCCCCCCCACTACCATGACCCAGTTCTACCTTACAAATCTGGCTAGACTGGAGTACACACATTGGTACAGGAAAGAGGTCTTTTTAAAAAAATAAAAATTTTATTGGGGGCTCATACAGCTCTTATCTCAATACATACATACATTCATTGTGCCAAGCACATTTGTACATTTGTTGCCATCATTTTCAAAACATTTTCTTTCTACTTGAGCCCTTGGTATCAGCTCCTCAAGACCCCCTCCCTCACAGGCCCTTGATAATTTATGAATTATGATAATTTTTTCATGTCTTCAGATAAGAGGTCTTGACACATGGAATTCAAGACAGATAAAACCTTCAGGTACAGTAGTGGGAGCAGCAGTATCATGAAGGTAGGGATGGTGGGGAAGGTAGGGATGGTGGGAGATTGGGGTAAGGGGAAAAAAAAGGAGTAACCCATCGCAAGGTTGGATATATACCCACCCCCCCAAAGAGGGACAAATAACAGAAATGTGGGTGAATGGAGACAACAGACAGTGTAAGACACGAAATAACAACAATAATACATAACTGATCAAGGGTTCACAACGGTGGAAGAGTGGGGGGAGGGAGGGTTAAAAAGAGGAGCTGATACCAAGGGTTCAAGTAGAAAGAAAAATGTTTTGGAAATGTTGATGGCAACATATGTACAAGTGTGCTTAATACAATTGCATGATGGATTGTTATAAGATTTGTAAGAGCCTCCCGATAAAATGATTAATTAAAAAAAGAAGTAAATAGACCTAGATGGAGGTTATGTTGAGAAACAATAGCTTCGCTTTTGAGATTTTTGTTTAATAAAAGTTTATATAATTTTGTAAAAGAAAAATATTTTCATTTAAAAAAAATCCAAATAGGTTTATTTGGATCACTTCCCACACATTTGATCCAGAGTCTTTTAGTGCTGCTTCTGCCTGAAGGAGCATCCTTCTGTGAGCCTTGCTTTCCCTCCTGGAGGCTGACAGAGGACAGGAGAGCAGCCAACACACAAAACGACTGTTTGTGCCTGGCTGAAGGCCGTGGTGATTTTATAGCCGCCTGGGCTTTGGGCATCCGGGAAGTAGGAATCGGGCTCCGCACCAGGCGCTTCTTCTTGTGTTTTCTCTTCTCCTCTTTGGGAGGGTTGAAGGAGCTCCTTTGTGAGTTAACATCCTAAAAAGTACAGAGGGGACCTGTGGGCTCCCTGCATTCCAAATCTGCCTGAGCGGAGCGTGGGGGCAGAAGAGCTGGATCTCCACTGAAGCCTGGCCCTGGCTGCTCACAGGCATGATCACGAGGGGAGGTCATCACCACCAGAAACGGAAATTTCATTATCTTTTAATCCCATTGTTCCATGAAAAAAATTTTTTGACTTTTTTAACCACCTTTACTAGCTCACATAAATGTTTTAAAACAAGTTCATCTTTTTTCCCTTTCCTTGGCACAATTTATTATAGATGATGTCAAACAAACTAGCTAAATGCCCATTGGGGGAAAATGAATTTTAAAATACAAAACAGAGGTCAATAAATAGCCAAATACATCACTCATGGAAAACACTGTTTTTCCTTATAGATTAAGTCACTGATTTGCAACTTTTATCAAAAGTTCACCTATAAAGTAATTTATGATGTGATTTTGACTCGCCTTTTTGACAACAGTTGAGTTTGTACATAAAAAATTGCAAAATTTCAACCAAAGAACATGTAAAACATTCAAACACAAGTGAACGCTTTAAATTTTAGCTCCTATCAACAAATAATGGCTGTCTATCAATTTATGTTAGTCCTGTGGTCCAGAAGGCATTTTCCATCTGAAACCTTTTAAAAAACTCTTCTGTATGGCCTGGGTTTCTTCTAATGGGAATTGGTGTAGTCTGTTCTTGAAGAAGATGGCACTAGGCAGATATTGTTTGATACTAGGATAATGCGTAATGACACATTAAGATATTTCACCTTTTCTTGAATCTTCAGGTCAGCTATAATGTGGTGAAGTTCATAGTCAAACAGATATTGGCCAAGGTAAAGTTATAGCCCATGAGTAGACTTTGTCTTCAAGATATGCATTAAGATCCTTCAGCAGAATGTGGATGTCGTCTTTAGTGGAGTGTCCATCTCCTTTAGTTACCCTGTATTCCAACCATTGCTGCACGGCTGCTTTTTCTTTTCTTTCTTTTTAAAAAAAATAATTTTATTAGGGGCTCATACAACTCTTATCACAATCCATACACACATCAATTGTGTAAAGTGCATTTGTACATTCATTGCCCTCATCATTCTCAAAACATTTCCTCTCCACTTAAGCCCCGCCACTGGCATTAGGTCCTCATTTTTCCCCTCCCTCCTTGCTCCCCCCTCCCTCATGAGCCCTTGATAGTTTATAAATTGTTATTTTGTCATATCTTGCTCTGTCTGACGTCTCCCTTCACCCACTTTTCTGTTGTCCGTCCCCAGGGAGGAGGTCACAAATAGTTCCATGTAATCGGTTCCCTCTTTCCTACCCACTCTCCCTCTACCCTCCCTGTTTCACCACTCACACCACTGGTCCTGTATGGCTCATTCACCCTGGATTCCCTGTATTTTCAGTTCCTATCTGTACCAGTGTACATCCTCTGGTCTAGCCAGACTTGCAAGGTTGAATTCGAGTCATGGTAGTGGGAGCGGGGAGGAAACATTTAGGAATTAGAGGAAAGTTGTATTTCTCATCGTTGTTACATCGCACCCTGACTGGCTCGTCTCCTCCCCGAGACCCCTCTGCAAGGGGATCTCCAGTGGCCTACTAATGGGCTTTGGGTCTCCACTCCGCACTCCCCGCATCATTCACTATGGTAAGATTTTTTGTTCTGATGATGCCTTATACCTGATCCCTTCGACACCTCATGGTTGCATAGGCTGGTGTGCTTCTTCCATGTGGGCTTTGTTGCTTCTGAGCTTGATGGCTGCTTGATTACCTGCAAGCCTTTAAGATCCCAGACGCTATACTTTTTTGGTAGCCGAGCACCATCAGCTTTCTTTGCCACACATGCTTATGCACCCATTTGTCTGTTCGACACCTCGTGATCACACAGGCTGATATGTTGTTCCATCTGGGCTTTGCTGCTTCTGAGCTAGATGGCCGCTTGTTTACCTTCAAGCTTTAAAGACCCCAGACACTATATCTTTTGACAGCCAGACACCATCAGCTTTCTTCACCACATTTGCTTATTGACCTGCTTTGTCTTCAGCGGTTGTGACACGACTGCTTTTTCTTTGGCACTGCTCCCCAGCAAAGATTCTTTGTTGACTTGCTTGACTAGATGAGCCACTATTGTCATTAATCCTCTTAAACTCGGACCATTGTTTGCTTGAAGAACTAGAATCTGGTGCTCACCCTGGGCACTGTATTTGTTCCTTGTACTCAACCCCAGGAATTTCTCAACCAGTGTCAAATCCTCGGCTGCCACCATCTTCCGGTGTGAGCTTCTAGCCGGTGCAGGGCTACATGGAAATTCTGAAGTCCTCTCATATGTATAAGACATTTCTTAGCTTTTAAAACTTGAGGATCGTATGCAAAATAAGGATTTGATTTGGGAAGAATTATCTTGTAGCTGTCTTTCTTAAAGGTGTGTATTCTGGTTATTGATGAATAGGTTCAAGTGAAGACAAATTTTAAAAGGCAACTCAGATTATAAGCATGGCAGATTTGATTGAGGTGAGTTGCTATTTCAATGTTCATCATGTGTGCTCATCTCACCTCCCTTTTCTGATCTTTTTAAGCATTTATATGCATGAACCAGTGATTAAGGAAAAATACCCACCACTACTTACCTTCATTGAAATGTTGTATAAAATCAAGAGCATGTTTAATCATTTTTCTCATTTGATCTAAAATATCAGCTCTCAGAACCCCTTGAGGCTGGGGTCCAACTTCTATACCTAGGTACAGAAGGGTAAACTGTTAAATTTATGTAAGTATCAGAGTATATTGCAAAATTGAGCATCTTAATATATGAATATCAAGAATCTTATTAAAATATATTTATGGAAGTGTATGATATGTGAATTTTATATTAAGCAAACTACTAAAAAAAGAAACAAAACAAAAGCCAAAAGAACCAAAAAAGAAACCAAAGTTTTCAATGGTTACCATGAATGAAGGAGGAAGATTTATTACTTATGGGCATTGAGTTTGTGTTCATGATGGTAGAATAATTTGGAAAAAGATATCAATAATAGTTGTGCAACATAAAGAATATAATAAATGCACTGAATTATACATGCAGCAGTTGTTGAGTTGGAGAGTGCTTTGTTGTTTGTATTTTTGCCACAATGAAAATAACAGTAATTTAAACTAATAACAATGAGTATAAGGATGAAGAAAATGTTCTAAAATTTATTGTGGTAATGATTATACAACTCTTGTAGAGATGTGGATTTCATATCATTGTGAATGAGGAGGAGTGCGGAATGGGGACCCAAAGTCCATCTGTAGATAACTGGACATCCCCTTACAGAAGGGTTGCAGGGAGGAGAAGAGCCAGTCAGGTCAGGGTGCAGTGTAGCAACGATGAAACATACAACTTTTCTCTAAATGCTTCCTGCCCCCCACTCCCAACTATCATGATCCCAATTCTACCTTACAAGTCCGGCTAGACCAGAGGATGTATGCTGGTACAGATAGGAACTGGAAACACAGGGAATCCAGGACAGACGCACCCCTCAGGATCAGTGGTGAGAGTGGCGATACCGGGAGGGTGGAGGGAAGAGAAAGGGGGAACCGATTGCAAGGATCTACTTATAACCCCCTCCCTGGGGGATGGACAACAGAAAAGTGGGTGAAGGGAGACATTGGACAGTGTAAGACATGACAAAATAATAATAATTTATAAATTATCAAGGGTTCGTGAGGGAGAGGGGTGCGGGGAGGAAGGGGAAGAATGAGGAACTGATACCAAGGGTTCAAGTAGAAACCAAATGTTTTGAGAATGATGATGGCAACAAATGTACAAATGTGCTTGTCACAATGGATGTATGCCCCCAATAAAATGATTAAAAATAAATAAATGTGGATTAAGTACCAGTAAAACTATTTAAAAATAAAAGAAAAAATCATTTAAAAGGTAGACCTATAGCATTATGAAAAATGTTTAAAATAGAATGTTAAGTAAAATATAAAGCAGAGCATTTAGATGTACATATTATGCGCATAATGATTAAAGACTGGAAAAGAACATCAGAGTTGTGTGATAGTAGTAAGATACTTATGTCTTTTTACTTTAAATTGTATTCAGCAGTGTCATGATATTTAAAAAAAACCACGAACCAGTAAAAAGGGTAGACAAATTGATGTAAACAAAGTAGTAAGTGGACATAATGAGAAACCGTATTAGACAAGTTTGACAGAACAAAGGCCAGCTATCTAACCAGAAAATAAGACTGGATGAGTAATGAATTTAAGTCAATATAAAAATTCAGGCAATGCTTGGCAGCACTGCCTTTAACATCAAAATATATCCTGATATGATAGTGCTGTTATAATTTTCCACAGAAAAATAAAATTGTACTCCTTTCATCTTACAATAATACAACTCTATCTGTACTATTGGGCTTACCTCCTGTGACTGTCAAGCCTCCATCCATTCTTACAGCAACAAAACCAACAAGTGTGTGCAGCTCACTTACTGTGCTATTTTACTATGGTGGTCTGAAAACGCTTTCTCTAAATCACTTTCTAGTCCCTTTCCTTCTGCTCAAGCCCTTCACACGCTCATCCGTTCAATCACCACCTTCTCCTTTGCAAAGATGTCTGCAGGATCAACAGCCTTGGAAGACAATGGTGGTGTCTTCCTGGCAGTCAAGGACAGGTGTCCCTGCTGCCCATTATAGTACACTTAAGTTCTCTCAGCTCAGTCTTTGCCCGGGGATGTAGGTGTTATCTGGCTCTTTTCACATACGCATGGAATTGGGGCTTGGAAACGAGCACAAAGAAATAATGACACCCTGCTACTCTTAATAAATGATTCTCTGTCGCTGACCTATGAGACCTACATCTTCTACCAGCATCCACAAAACAATGACAAACTAGCTTGTTAGCTACCAGGTAGATCACAATCTCAGGTGTTTTATAGCCCACTGACAAGGAGAAAACCATAAAGCAGTCTGGATAAGACCTCTGGGATGACTAGTGCTTTGGAGAAGCAGATCCACTGTCTTTCTGTTACAATCAAACCTGACCACTTTTAATAATCGTCTATGTGTGTATGGCAATGTCTTGAACCTCACTGCCATCAAGTCAGTTCTGACTCATAGTGACCCCCTGTGGGTTTCCAAGACTGTAACTGCTCATGGGAGTAGAGAGCCCAGAGAGTTCATGGGAATAGAGAGCCCTTTCTCCTGCAGAGTTGTTGGTGGATTTGAACTGCTGACCAGAGGAACCACAGCCCAACGCATAACCACTATACTACCAGGGATCCTGGGGCTTCCAATAGTTCATGGACATTTTTCATTATTTCTTAATTAGATTTTTGTCCTACAAACTTTTGAAGGCCTCTCATATTATCAAAGCTAGGTGATTAATATTTCATATGCAGACATTTCTCATTTTATTCATGCTCTGTTTTATTTACACTTTGCAGATGTTGGTATTTTTCATATTGAAGGTTTATGGCAACCCTGTGTTGAGCAAGCCTATTGGTGCCATTTTTCCAACAGCATGTGGTTGCTTCTTATCTCTGTGTCACATTTTAGTAATTCTCACAGTATTTAAAGCTTTTTTGTAATACTATTGCACCCTTAATAAATTACAGAACAGTGTAAACATAACTCTCATATCCATAGGGGAAAAAAACCATCCATGTGACTTGCTTAACTGCAATACTCTCTTTATTGTAGTGGGTAGTCCGGAATCAAATCTGTAAGATTTCCAAGGGATGCCTGAACAAAGGGATTTCAAAAAGCTCATGGAAAGGGGTGATGATGTCAAGGGGTCCATGTAGAAAAAGAATGTTTGGAAACTGATTGTGGTAGCAAATGTACAATTCTGCTGGATGTGACTGAACTATGGAATGATTTGATATATGTATCAATACCAATTAATAAAAATATTAAACAACAGAAAAGTTCGTGGAAAAATTCCATTATCTTTTAATTCTATTTCTCCATGAATTTCTAAACCCTCTTGTATAGTCATAGTTATAGAAATTGTATGATAAGGAATGTTTGTGTATATCTATGTGGGATTAAAATTGTGAACAATTATAAATTTTAATTATATACTCACTATAATTTCAACTAACACTTATTAAACACACATAATTAGGCGGCAGAAGGGTCAGAGGACAGAGAACTCTATGGTAATGGAGTTATAATCAATTGAGAACTTAGGGGCCATTGTATCTGATAGTCCCTTTGTTTTAAATTGCTGTCCAAGGACCAATCCTGGTCCCTAACTGTTTAAAGAAATATGTGGAGGGGCTGTTCTTGCTGGAATGTGGGATTAAAAGTGTGACTAACAATCGTTTGTAAGTTTTAATTGTGTGCTCATTGGAAATTTCAACTAAGGGAAAGCTCTATAGGAAGTGACATTTGAACTGAACCTTGCGGATGAGAAGAATTCTGCGAGGCTAATTTAAAAGGACCGAGTATGACAGCAACGGAAAACAAAAGGCTGCTCAGTGAAATGGAGGAAATTGAGTATAGTTCAAGTGCCAGAATACCTGGAGGTAGTGTGCTTATTACTTGGAAATTATAAGCCATAATAACATGCAAGTGGCTATAAACATGCCTTAAAATAATTATCTTGGAGTTTCAGCTAGAACAAATTTTGTTCAGTTATGACTATGGAAAATCTGACTTACCAACAGGATATTTGGCTATAGAACGAGTGGTTGCATATTTGAGGGAATGATGCTCAATAAGATAAACATAGCAGGGCAATGGAGCCAAAGAAGTCTGAAAAAGAATTCAAAATATCTTTCTTATTATGTACAGACCATATGTTTTGTTTTCTTTGCTGCTCCAGGCTCAAAAACACTTTCAATATGCTTTACTTCATCAACTAAGATTAGTAAAACATCTTTAAGAAGTGGATTCTCAAACCCAATATTATTACTCTAGTTCTGAAAATATATAAAATAATTACATATAAAAGCCAATTATACATAGTCTTCTAGGTAAAATGTACATTAAGCAAGTCTCCAGAAGCACAATTAAACAATATAAAATAAAAATTTCTTCAAACGGATTTGATTATTTTTGTTTTCATCACTGGTTACACTCACTATTTAGCTTAGCATTGGTCTCTTAAGGAATTCTCTTTCTACGCCTGTGGTCCAGCTCTCTACAGATGTTTAGTGATTGCCTTCCCTGAGAATTTAAAACAGGCCTCTCAGTTTTGATAACCTTGCTGCTTTTCTTCATCTGGCAACCAAAGCATTCAGCTAGCCCTTCAATTCTAACAAAGATTAACCTGATGATTGCCTTCTCTAAGAACAACTACAGAGCTACTGTCAAAAACTCAAGGGAAACAAAAAAATAATAGCTAACCTTCACAATTTGGTAAGTTATTGGGCTAAAGTCTTCAAATACTTTGTTTTTAACAGTCATCTAGGGGATTGTTATCATGTTAATTTTATAAAACAAGGAAAGCAAACTTTTAGGAGTTGAAATCTTGACAAAGGCTAGTGATTGAGAAAATCCATATTAGAAGTCAACTTGTCATGACTACCTAGGACAAACTGTTTCCACTGAGGCACACTGCCTCTCAGGAAGGATGGATAGTCATAATACAGATGTATACATACAATTCATCATTTGTGTTTCTTGCTTGCTAATTTCTAGCACTTTTTCTCTGGCAACAGAGTAGGCTGTGGATTACTGAATTTTTCATCCTGCAGGCTGCTGGACCTTGAAGTGCTTAGTGGTGAAGGGTGTGTACTGGGGTATCTGAATAAAATGGGGGCAAGGGAAGAACTAAAGGAAGCCGACCTTTTTATCATTGGGCACACATCAACATTAAATGATTATCTCATGAGCTTCTTAAAATTGAACTACTTCAACCACACATTTGAAATTTGATATTAATTTGACTTGGTTTTACCAATAGCCCATGATTTCATAGTTGACTGTATATAAAAAAGTTAAATTTTATAGAACCTACCAGTAGCTTATTGTTTTTGTCATTGTATTTGTATGTTTACTCATTCTCTTTTCTCCCGATTGTCACAGCTCTCCCTGTACTCGGCTACTCCTCCCCCTCACCCAAGCTTGGCTGTGGGGCAGATTCGCATCTCTCATTTCTCTTGGGTCCTTCCTCCTACCCCTTTTCTGGTATTTTCACATCTCGAGTAAACTTAAAAGTACAGATCTTATGCTACTTTACAAATTAGTTAGCATTACTGTTACCTTGATATAATGAAACATCTGAATTAAAAAGTCACTCTTGGAATCTTCAAGAATAAGGGTGCACCCCATATTAGATGTAGTGTTGTGAAGGTCAAAAATAACATCATAGGCATCTTCACTATCTTTTGGACCAAATAGATGATTTATTTCTTGAGCTCTTCTTACTTCATATGGCAAATCTTCTGACCTGTTTTTGCTAGTATTGGTGGAAAGAAAAAGATGAGCAACATCTGTGGCTGAGACAACATAAATACACAATAGAAATACAGTGTACAGTTACCAAACCCTTAATGTGAAAAACCTGTGAGAGAAGTGAAAACATCTGGAACTTGATAAATAAAAAAGCCCATTTTCCCTCTGTTTTGTTACTTATAGCTAACGTTACATTGACATGTTGACAAAGCAATGGTGGAAGTCACAGTGGTAGTTATGATCTATAAAAAAGGAAAGATGCTTAACAAGGACATACCCAGAGTGTTGCTATGACATATAGTGTATTCAAGGTACAAGGGGGCATCGACAGGTTCATGGGAACCTTGTCTTCGCATTCCACATTTCCATGAACTTTTCCAAGGCCTCTTGTATGACTGACAGTAATTTACAGCCAGGTGAGTTGCCTCTCGTTCCCATCAATGGCAACATGCTACTGATGTAACCTCGACCTATAGCCAATCCTCCAAACCTGTGGGCGATTCCCGGACAGGCATACCTTTCTGAAAACAAAATCAGAGGACGCGCCAGTCCCTTGCATAAAATGGTGTAGCATTTCCACATAACCTATGCTCCTTAAGTATACTTCAAGTCATCTCTGGGTTACTTACAGCACCTAAAATCAAGGTGAATACCATGCAAATAGTACTTCATATTCCCTCTCAGGGAGTGCTTTGACTTCTTACGTGCCTTTTAGGAGCCCTCAGTCTCCCACAGAAACGAAGAGCGCCCACAAGCAGTGAGTGAATGAAACAGGAGGGGAACAGTGCTCAAAAAAGGAGCGGGAGAGAGACTGAGGATCTGTGACAGGCGTCCTCAAACCACGTCCCGTGGGCCACATGCAGCCCGCCGAGGACATTTATTCGGCCCACCGGGTGTTTTTGCCCCATTTATTTTATTTTATTTTTTACTTCAAAATAAGATATGTGCAGTGTGTATAGGAATTTGTTCATAGTTTTTAAAAAAAACTATAATCTGGCCCTTCAACGGGTCTGAGGGACAGTGAACTGGTCCCCTGTTTAAAAAGTTTGAGGACTCCTGATCTGTGAAATGGCGAGAGGCCAGGACACGTCATGGCCACACATCACTTCATTTGCATGGATTTTGTGTACTGCTTAGCAAGTGGCGAAGTCAAGTTTTGCTTTTTGGAACTTTCTGGAAATGTTTTTTTCTTGACTATCATTTCCCAATTTATCTATTTTTATTTATTTATAAAGTATTGGGAAGAAATATGGTAAAAGGTCAATGTGTGGTGGGGGACAAACAGTTAATTGTTAGACTTTTCCATGTTTTTCTGTTAGTTTGAGGTATTTCATTATTTTTTTTTATTTTTTATTTTTTAAAAAGGTTTTGATCCAAGCTGAGTTGAATCTGCAGGTATGTAATCAGTAGACATGGAGGGCTGACAGAGCAGTGAGGTGTTGCCTGATGATGGGCATTTACTCCTTCTTTCAGTCACATATTAATTAGAACATGATATTTTTTTAACAGTAGAACTTTATGCTCTATCATAAACATTGTTACATTGAAAAAAAATAGCAATGAATTACCTAGAAAGCTGACAAACTTGTACACAGAGTGGCCAAACCCTAATTCAATGTAAAGGAGCATTAAATGTGTTTCTTTCAAGACATGGTTTAAAAAGAAAACCTTCGTTATTTGTTGCTCTGGTCTATATAGGAAACATTTATAAAATCAGTTGAGAAGCGTTTGGTATTTTAAAAATATTATACAAGGGCATTTCATAATTGCCTCATTTAGATACTTATGTAATTCATAGTGAAATATAAAAAGTGAAAGTAATCTTATTTATGATACCGATTATATGAATTAACATGAATTTTTTTTCATCATGTGGCTGATTGACTTTTTTTTAATTTTGGAAGACTTATTTTTTTAAACAATTTCATTGGCACTTAATCCACATATCACAAAATTTAATAGTTCAATCACTTCAAGAAGCATTATACAATCATGGCCACAATCAATCTTTTGTACATTTTCTTCCCTCCCCTATGAACATGAATTTTTATAAAGTGCATATGTAAATATGTGTCTTCTCTCTCATACAGACAACTTTCCACACACATGCATGTACCCACAACAAAAAAACATAGTCTTACCCAAGATTTTCAATGTCAAAAACTCGATTCAGGTCACAGTCAATGTATCTGGAACACTTCTTCACTGCTCTTGGGTTGGAAATGAATGGCTTTACCTCCAGCCCTGCTCTCTGAATCTCAGCGCCATCCTCTAGCCAATGCTTAACTAGAAATACTCCCGTTAGCTCATTCCCATGCGTTCCTCCAAAGACAGCAACCTTTTTAATAGGCTCTTCAGCAACGTGAAAAGAGGTCATTTTACCAAGTCGTTTTATCTGATTTCTGCAATTCAGAAGAGAAGAGATCCAGTTAAATTTAATTTCTGAAGAAAAGTCTAGAAGTTTAAATCAAAAGGAGTCTTTAACCAAAGTGCAAAGTACAAAGTTCGCTTGAGTTTATCTTAACTCTGTTACAAGTTCTGAGCTCTGCTTATTATATGAACATTCCAATCTAGCCCTGCCCTTTACCATATTTGGCTTAAAATATGCAAGAGATGAACTACAGATATAGCTGTTTACCTTGACTTCTAACTCCCTCAGATGGTCAGTAGATCTAAATACACTCATAATCAGCATCATAGTCATACACAAATGCTGCTTTCCCTTCCCTGACATTTAAAGGTATGTTCAAGATTATTTGGGAAAACATTTCTAATTAAAAGAAAAATATAAAAAAGAAAGAAGTGACCCACACATGGACAGATGATTATTTAATATTTATATTTCTGCTAATCCCATCTTCATTAACAATCACAGATATATCCTCAGAAATCTCCCTATTGAAGCAACATTCTATTTATCAGAACACTTTGGAGATCAAAGAATAAAGATCGCTGGGACTAAAAATGGATGTTCAAAAATTCTCTAATATTTTTATCATGAAGCTTTGGTCCTTTTATGTGAACTGTTTCTGGGCTCTTCCCCACTGTTTGAATTACTGATAAAGGAGAAGTAACTGGGAGTACTTTTCTAGTGTTTGTAATGCCTGAACATGTCTCGGGACATTCCACATATTGTCACCACATTATACGAGCTTATATAGACACGGCCCAACTTACAGGCAGCGAGGCTCTCCATGGGAATGTGTACTCGTTAGGGAGGCTTGTCAGGGCAAACTATTCAGAACACTAGTGGATCACATCTCTTTAAAGCCAAATCTGATTTGATTCCATGCTCAAGCCGTAACATGAAATACATCCAAGTACTGAAAATCGTATGTACTTGCAATCCCCATGTTCTTTGGTAGGGTACAAGAGGAGATCACTACAATTACAGAGTGGTTTAATTTATAATTGTCTTCTGCATATGCTATCTCGGCTTATTTATACATCTATTTTGCAAGACAGGGTGGGTAGTTAAATATTGACATTCCTACTGCAGCAGCAAAGGGAACCCAAAACCTCTGGCTCATAGAAATCCTACAGGAACCCCAAGTCGTAAAGCAAAGAGTGGCTTAAAGAACCTGATTAAGATTCTGCAGCAACGCAGGGGCAAAACCCGGCCTGGAAACTAAGTTTTTCAGACTCATTCCAAAAGTTTTCACAAGGCAATAGAGTGTCTCCCGATGAGTCCTGGCTTGCCCCCAAAGCTCTAATTTTCCCCTCTCAGCGTTTTCATCCCCCAAACCCCTGCCAACACTGCAGTGTGCTCAAGACACAGACCAACCTCCCAATCCAATACAGGATAGAAACACAAGGGAAATGCTTTGGGACAGTTCATAAACTAAGTCCTATGTCCTCCCTGAGATAATGCAGAGATAAAGCAGTCCACTAGAAACACACACGGACGCACCCACGACTGTCCCAGTTTGGGGAAGAAGCCCGACAAGCCTTTGCTCACAGCATTGCACACGAAACACCTGGAAGGAGGTAGCGATGATGAGACGCACGAGGCTCTGGATGGATGGGGGGCTAGCGTCCCCCCACTTTGGTTTAGGAAGGGCCAAGGCCACGGGCCGTGTGTGTGCGCGCTCGGTCCTGGCTCCGCCCGCTGCCCTGGGCTCTCGGCCCGCAGCTGGCACGGACCCCTCGGTCGATGCCATCGCCGCCCGTCCACCCGGCCTTGGCAGCAGCGCACGGACCCCTGGGAGAGCTCGCTTCTTTACGTGGCGGGAGTCGCCGCGGTGCAGTTAGTGCGCGACCGCACTTACACGAGCCGTCTGCACTGCGGTCGGAGGTCGTCTGCCGTGACAGGCTGACTAGGAAGACGGACAGAAGGGAGGGCGTTTGCTCCGAACTTTTCCTGAGCACCGGAGGCTTCTCACACTTAGACCGAGTGAACTTCGGAAAGACCTCTAACCCCCTGCTTCCCAACACACAGGGACTTAAAGCGAAAGTACACAGAGTAAACTTTGCCCCTCCCCCGTCACTAGCTCGACCTTCGTGTGAATAAGGTACCACAATTCTTGACTCATTAAGCCTAATCACTTCCAGTGCTTCAAATGTGTGCGGGGGGCGGGGAGGGGAACTAGAGGGGCTTCATTTCTTAACAAAATGCTGTATTTGAAGGCAAAAGAAGAGCGGAAACAACTTTCCTGATGACAACAACTACATCAGGAGGCGCAGCGCCTCCAGGACCCGCGCGCCCGGACGCTCCGGCGGCGGCAGGCCTTGCGCATGCGCACTGGGCGCGCGGCGCCTCCCTGCGTGCGTTCTCACTGCGGCTGCGCACCCCGATTTCCCGCGCTTTTCTCGAGGCGAGACGCTAGAGCTGGCCGACTGGACGGCCTGGGGGCAGTTGACGGTTGGCTGAGGAGAGGGAACCAGAAGGTTAAAGTTACGTGTTGTGTTGGCCGAGGGACCAAGAAGGGAAGACTGGGCCTCAACTCTACTTCTCAAACTGCCCCCAGGCCCCGGGACGGGAGGGCGTGGGATGAGAACACGCGCCCTGACGGGCGGGACTGACGCGCAGCCCTTCTAGAACTTTCTCTCCGTGAGGGACCCAACGGAGCCCTCCTGCGCGCCACGAGGCCGTGACGCCGCCTCTCTCTCTCCGTGTGTTTGCAGACCGAGCACACTTGTACCGCGAGGCCACCATGGACATGAATGACCCATTAGGCTCTGTTTAGAAGCTTCGGAGGGGGTGGGGGTGGGGCTCGGGGTGGGGGTGGGGGTGGGGCAGCGCAGGGTCATTTGGTCCAGGGGGAGGGGACCGCACGTGTCCGTTGCTCTTCTCTTGGTGCGATACTCAGAGACCTTTGTAATATATCCCCTCCCGCGTCCTCGCCTTAGGACGGGAATTACAGTGGTTTTACCATTTTTGAGAAAAAGCCAAGTCATCTCTGTTGGGTGGCTCGCCTTGACATCAAGATTTTTTAAAGTGTGACTGCTTATACGCGATCCCCAGTATAGAGCCCGAGAGCAGGGAACAAAACGGAAGCAGTCCATGACCGCATGCTTTCCAGGTTTTATATCTATATACATTTAAAAAAGATATTTAAGAAACAGTATTGACCTCCGTCTGACCAGAGTTCCTGTGTTCGTTATCTGCCTGCCTCATTGCACTCGCAAGCCATGATGATCTTATTTATGTTTGTGTCTTGCTTTTTCACACAGTAGACAGTTGAGTTAAATTGGGGTTTAAATACATTAAGAGGTGAATGTGGGGGGCAAACTTACAACAGAACTTTGGTTTTGAAAGGGAAAACCAGAACATTTGCTTTATTTGTTGAAATTATAGAAAAGGAAGGGAAATTTGCAATTACTCTGCATGTTAAAGTGAGGCTTTAGGCCTGGATATGATACAAAGGGGCTTCAAAAAGTCTGCGGAAAGGAATTGAAAGATAATGGACTTTTTTTTTTTTTGGAAGTGTTCTCGAACAATCCACAAGTCTCAGACTGATGGCCAAAGCTGATAATCTGCCTGGTGTTTTAAAGTGGGACACAGGGACACAGGGCATACTCATAACTTTCTGGTCTTATAAGTTTGCCAGTGCTCGAGTTCATTATTGTTCATGTAATTTTAATTAAACTTATATTTTGATGGTTTAGTTTAGCAACTTCATGTTGTAAATTTTGGTGCTGAAGAAAGAAATTACAGACCTTGGTATAGTCAAGAAAATGAAGAGAAATGAAAATTCAACTCGAAGTACAGCAGGTATTGAACAAATCATATATATATAATGTTTTCGGTAGTTTATAGATGAAATTTTTAGAAGAAACTTTTAAAAACATTGACCATCTAGTCTAGCCTCTTTATTTGAAGAAATGAATTTATTTGCTCAAGGTAAAACTGTTAGTAGCAAGGATGGAAGTAGAATTACAATCTTCTGGACTTACTCTAGTGTTTTTCCTACACACTTTACATGCTTGAGTTGTTCTGTGATGTTAAGCTAGAAACCTACAGGTTTGGGATTAACTGTAAATCAACTCAATGGTAGTGTTCTTTTAAAAATAATTATTAATTCAATATTTTAGGAGCATGCCCAACTCTTTAGCAGCTTTCATTTCTACTTCACTATTTTATTAGTATAAGAATAATATAATTGTTTGTATATAGGTATTTCATGTGGTATATGTTGAGTTGATTCTGACTCGTAGCACCCCTCACAGCAACGAGGTAGAACTTCTCCTATGGGTTTATGAGACTTAAGTCTTTACGGGAGTAGAGAGCCTCATCTTTCTCTCCCGGAGCAACTGGTTGTTTTGAACTGCTGACAAGGTAAGCAGCCCCCAGCATGTAATCTATTAACACCGGCAGGGCTCCTGGTATATGTATTGTATCCTAAATATTTAACCACACGTATAAATTCACTTAATTTTTGTACCACCCCTCTGAGATCAGTATAGTCCAAAGATATTATTATTATCCTCTGTCTCATGTATGTTGCAATCTACTCATGGCAGGGAGTGAGTGGGTGAGTGAGTGATGTCTCATCTCATTCAGAAGAGAAGCTGGTTATACCGGAAGGTAAAATAAATAACCTGGTCATTGGCAGGACCTAGGTTTGCTTCTAGGAGTTTTGCTCTGTAGTCAAGCTCTTAAATACTAGGCCACTTTTTCTTCTCAGTGTGTAGAATCTTAGTTCAAAAATTTTAGAGAAATTGTCAATTATATTTAAAATTGTAATTCAAACCCAGTTTGACATTCTTATACCTTGAACGTGTAATTCAAACCCAGGCAATCTAGCAACAGAAACATTCATCAATCTCCCAACTTTCGTAAGAGAGTTGATTATAGATTCTTTTGTTGCACAAGTGGTGGAGGTGCTAGAGTAGTGTAGTGACAAGAGATCTGGTTGTTGACCAGATCTTTTTTCCCCCTCTAGAATATTTGCTTGTTGACCTTTTTTTTCCTCTAGAACATTTTTTCTAGTTTTGAAGTTTATGAATTCTTACTTTTGGTATAGCCTGAGATCTAAGTCTCTTATCTAGAAGGTAGTGGTAGATTCTCTTTTGGGGTGGATATTACCACTCTCTAGAACATTATCAAAATGATCCATAGAATATATGCATTTCAGATACATATGTATTTCAGATACAATGATCCATAGAATATATGCATTTCAGATATATACATGCATTTCAGATACATAGAATATATGCATTTCAGATACATAGGGAGTTAAAATTTGGGTACAAGATCAAGTCTATTTAAATAAAATCTAAAAATAAATAAAATTTAAAAATCTGTGAGGGTGGATTTCTAGAAATTTGTATGTTAAGTAGAAAGATGAGTCCTAGGTAAATTAAATTTCAAAAACTATGACGGGTGTACCACTGTAGTCCAAAGATAGATGAGGGTTTTGGAAGACATAGGTGTGATTCTTCTATTGTACTTGGAGGGTTTCCTCTAGTTGAGATGGTGATAGACAAACACAGAAGGAAAATAAAATAAAAAGTAAGTTGGAAAGGATGGAGGCAGGGGTGAGGTAGGAGATGGGAATTACTTTCAAATAGTGGTAATGAGAATAAATATGGTCAAATAAGGGACTTTTTAGAGACAAATGAGACTTTTCAAGATTTTAAAAAGAATGTAAAGTTAAAAGTATAGAAGTACCCGTGTCAAATATAAATTGACATAAAAAGTAGAAAAAAATCAATTATATATTATTACACAATAGTAATTGTTTTATAACTAGATATATTTGTCAATTGCATTCTGATTTATTGGTATGCTCAATTTAGGCTGTTTGCCTGTACCATTGTTCAATCAGAAAAAGAGGAGCAGACAACCATTAACTTCGAATCCACTTAAAAATGATCCAGGAATCAGTACTGCTTTTGACAGTTATGATTTTCCTCCTTTACCAACAGGTAAGAGAAAGAGAACTGTGAAAACGTTCAGAAAGCAAGTACTAGAAGTAAAAAAAAATCAGCATTTCTGTTTTACTATAGTGAAGAAAGAAAGTGTACTTTACTATTTTTTGCTTTTTACATTATGCAAATATACAAATTAATTAACTTTTTTAACATCCCTGTATAGAAATTTTAGTTTCTTTGTTTACACATGTGGCCCAGCACTTATATGGGATATCTTAGATTTGAATGCTTTATTCTATTTAAGTGATAGTCTTCATATTAAACATTTTTTCCTCTTTGAAAAGTACATACTGGTATTGTAACTAAGACATTTTATGGTAAAGAACAGAGATTAAAGATGTTTCAGGAGCAGGGATGATGCTTATGAACACAGGGAGAACAAAGAAGTATAGACCTCAGGAAGAGCAGACATGAGTTTCTAGGACTTGACGGTAGTGCAGTGTTTTCTCTTACAGCATTTTGGTCTTTCTTCTTATATTGGTTCTTTACGATCTCACCCCGCTGACTTCCTTAAATAGCTTCCCCTAGCACACAAACTATCTTTCTTTGCTTTATATAACTGTTTATTTGTAGTTCTGAGTCTATTGTTGAACTACTTCTGCATCTTTTGAGTAAAAACCTAGAGACAGAGAAAGCTTCTAGTTCAGTTCATGTTTGGTTTTTTAAAGTTTCTTTTAATTTATTTATTAAAATCATTTTATTGGGGGCTCATACAACTCTTATCACCATCCATCCATCCATCCATCCATCCATCCATCCATCCATCCATTGTGTCAAGCACATTTGCAGTTCATGGTTTTAACTGAGGCCATCCACATATTGACTTAGGTTGTAGTTAAGCACCTCTGAACCAATTAATTATGTTGGTAGCTTCTGGGAGATCATATTTGCTGACTCTGGAAGAAGACATCAACAAGCAGATATTCAGAAATAGGCTTGGTACATGCTAGCTATACGCATTTGTATTTGCTAGCCCAGTGCTTTAAAATATTAACAGAATTTTATGCAATTAGAATTAAAAACTCTTTATAAAATGATACGTGGGCTCAAACATAAGAACAATTGTGATGGCACAGGACTAGGCTTTATTTTGTCCTGGTTACATAGGGTCACTGAGAGGCAGAACTGTACTGACTCAGCGGCACCTAAAACAATAAACATATTGCTCATTTCATCTGTGTATACCTATGGGCATCATCTGATTCTAAATCTAGAATTATTTCTTCTACATTTGTTAATATAAATCTCATATTAATGGCTCAATAATTGGAAATTCACATGATTATGTATATGGGTCAACATTTAGCTGGTCATTTTGCACCATTAAAAAATTCTCCATTAGTATGGATTGTGATAAGAGTTGTATGAGCCCCCAATAAAATGATTTAAATAAAAAAATTCTCCATTATTAAAAATTTTTTAAGCAGTATGAATGTTCTCCTTGAAAATTAACAATTTTGAGCTGCTCCACAAGGAAATCTGCTTCCTCCTGGAGCAATGAACTCTCCATCTCTGACCAGGTTTAAAGCTGAGGTTTAAGTGTGGGGCAGGTGATAGGGTTAAACCAATGCAAACTAGCTGCCGTCAAGTTGATTACCAACTCATGGTAACCTCCTGTGTACAGAGTAGAACCGCACCCCAGAGGGTTTTCAGACTTGTGGTCTTTTACTAGGCTGTTATTTTGAGGCTTCTGTGCGTGGATTCAAACTGTCCCTCTTTTACTTCGTAGTTCAGTGATTAACCATTTTCACTGTTTAGTATTTTTCAGATTTTTGCCTTGACCTATTAAGCTGGCCAAGATACAACCAACCTTTGAAATAATATTTATAATCATAGTGATCCTATGGAAGAGAGTAGAACTGTCACATAGAGTTTCCAAGGCTATAAATCTTTTTTTTGTGTTTTATATTTATCCTTTTTTTTCTTTTTACATTTTTATTGGCACCTAATCTACATATCATACAATTCAGTAGTTCTATTATATGGAGAAGAATTGTACAATCATTGCCACAATCAATTTTAGAGCAATCCCCACCCCCCCATGGTTAAATCACCTTTAAAATGAGCTGTGTAATCACAATCAGTTCTAGTGGTCCCTCCCCACTCCCGCCTTCATTGTTTACTCCTGAAATCCCCTATAAACCCTTGTGTTAGTTATTAATCTCTACGCATCCACTCCTTCTGTCGCTTCACAAACTGGGAACCCCAATTGGAAACAAAAACAAAATAGAAATAAAGTGGTAAGGATAAAATAATAATAATAATATAAAAATAAAAGTACAAATAACGAGTAAGAAAGAAAAGACCACCCTCAATATTTAAAAAGCCAGGGACGACATTTTTTTCATGGAACACACAAGAAATACTTGCACCTAGAGCAAATTCAGGTTGGGTCGATAGGGAGGTCAGCTGACCAAGTATCAATTCAATCCAGTATAATCAAGATTACAACGATTTCTGTCTGATAGTAAGGCTGTTCCCTACCCTTGCCTGTGGCTAATGGGGGTTCTTCCAACAGCTTAATTAACTAGTTACTCTGCAGATGGGTTTGGGGCTCCCACTGTTCTCCTAGCCTTTTTACCAATTGGCTGTTCATAATTTTAGCTCTGATATTTTTTCCTTCATCATATTTGAATTTTGCTATTGTCATCCCACAAGCTGGTGTGCTTCTTCCATGTGGGCTTAGTTGACTCCTTGCTTAGATGGCTGCTTATTTGAATACAAACCTTCAAAATCCCAGACACTATTCTGATTGATAATGACTATGAATCTTTATGTAAACAAACTGCAACATATTTCACCCAGAGTGGCCATGGTAGGTTCAAAATGCCAGCCATTGTATTTACAGCTGAATACAAGGGGGCTTCATAAACAAATTAGAGTATAATAGAGTATAAAATACCAGAGTGCATTCACAGGTAAAAGTAAGAGCTGATGGTGACCATTTTGCTAGATCCTCTTTCTGCCTGAACACACACACACACA